CTCTGGTGATCCAACAGCAGGCTTTTCTAGCTTTTTTTTTCTTTTTCTTTTTTTTTTTTTTTTTGAGATGGAGTCTTACTCTGTCACCTGGGCTGGAGTGCAATGGCATGATCTCGGCTCACTGCAACCTCTGCCTCTCGGGTTTAAGCGATTCTCCTGCCTCAGCCCCCTGAATAGCTGGGATTATCGGCATGTGCCACTATGCCCTGTTAATTTCTAATGTCTCACTTAATATATATGTGATATCTTTGTTTTTGCATATTGGCTTTTGGAGATGTCTTAATTTTTGTTTAGAAAATCAAATGATCTTATGACATTTTAAAGAAACATTGTGAGCCCTGACCAGTATTTGTAACTGGAATAATCTTCAAAATGCTCCTGTCAGATTTGTATTAGCTATACTGATTTTTTTAGGCTGGTTAGGATCATTTTGAAAGTGCTTGTAATAAATGCCTCTACCTACATAACCTCAATTTTTCTCAGAGTCTAGACAAGCCTTATAAAAATAGACATTAGTTTCCAAACTCAGATCAAATGTAAGTGCTGTCAGACCGCAAGGTCCGTGGGTCTGTTGATGTTTATTTTGCCCCTTGCTCTATAGAAAGCTCCATGTGTTGAAATTTTAACTAGTTTTTAGAGTCATCTCAATAAAGATGAATTAGTTGTATCCTGATATGAATGTGTATTATTTTTAGGTTCTTAAATGTAGTTAGTGGCTGCTCATAAAAATCTGAATATTATTTAGGCATTGGTTTGTGTGGTGGTGGCTTTGTCTGTACAGCGCTGTATAAAATTACCTCATAATATCTATTTACAGGTTCAGAAACTGACTCTGAGTCTGAAGGTCTCATTGTACTCTTTTTTCTTGAATAAACAGAAACTACCTGTAAAGTGTTGTATATTATTAGGATTTATTGCCTAACACAATTACTCCAGCAGGCTAGCCTCTCAAGAAATTCCTATAAAGATGGCCTTTTTTTATAGGATTGTAAAGTGGATTTAAATAGTTTGAAAAAATATATATTCCTAACTGCTATGTAGTTTATTAATACCAATCTCACATTCTTAACTTTGTATTTCTCATCACTGAGAAGGTGAGGTGGCCTTTGTTACATTTATTCTTTTTTTCTCTTTCAACAGGGGAAAGTGCAGTGTCGCCCTTCTGAATGAGACAGAATCAGTATTGTCATATCTTGATAAAGAGGTAATTCACAATCATACTTGTTTTGTTTTTTTCCCCCTTTATTTCACATGAAGCTCTTTCCTTGGAATTTATTTCTTTTTGTACAAAAGTATTATTCTACCATCATATTAATAGCAGTATTATGGTAAAACTGTAATGACTAGAATGCATTTGGGTAAATTTGATTTTTCTGGTTATCTGAGATAAGGGTTAGCAAAAACTTCTGTGTCTGTTTTTCAGTTGGTAATGAAAGACATTATAGAGAATGGTACATGGATTTAGTTGATAGTGGATGAATATTTTTGACTTTATGAAATTAATGCTTTAGTGTGCTTAGCTCCGCTTTATGTTTTGTTTTTGTTTTTATTTCTTGAATAAATGGTTTTTCTTTTAGACTATTTCCAGATGAGATTTTACCATTGGTGGTCTGCTTTCTGGAATCCTAATAAATGTTGTCAGTAAAAAAAATATTTTTTACTAAACGTTAACAAGAAATGTAGTTAACAAGTTGAGATAAAGCATACGCTTCACTGAAAGGAGGAAATTCTTATAAGCAGAATATTTCATGGTATGCATAGTTTTAGGCGACGTTTAAAGCAATGTTATTTGTATGGTGGGAAACATATTTTAGTGTCAGTGATGCTTCAGTATTTAATCTTTCTGATTTTTTTCCTCTCTCCCAAAAGCTTTATTACATATGTGTATGTTTTATTTTTTGGAGACAGTCTCGCTGTATCCCCCAGTCTGGAATGCAGTGATGTGATCATGGCCCACTGCAACCTCCGCCTCTCAGGTTCAAGCAATTCTTATGCTTCGGCCTCCTAAGTAGCTGGGATCACAGGTGCCTGCTGTCATACCCGGCTGATTTTTGTGTTTTTGGTAGAGATGGAGTTTTGCCATGTTTGCTAGGCTGGTCTTGAACTCCTGGCCTCAGGTGATCTACCTTCCTCAGCCTCCCAAAGTGCTGGGATCAGAGGCATGAGCCACTGTGCCTGGCCTGTTTTTTTTTTTTTTCTTTTTAAATCTTAAACTCAAATGTTGCTCATTTATTTCAAATGAAGAAAATATAACAGAAAAAGTTTGATACAATCATGCAGAACCCACTATACATTAGAAAACCTAATAGGAAATAAGAAAACTAACAGGAAAATACATATTCAAAGCGGAAAAAAGGCTTATAGACTTTATAACTTACCTCTGTAAAATTTAGATGATAAACTTGTCCTTAGTCTGTCCAACAGAATGGATTATAGTATGGATAATGATAGTGCCCAGAAATTAGCATTATTTCACAGAAGCAGAAAGAAAAAGGCAAAACATTCAATGCATTTCATTGTATTAAATTTTTTTTTTTTTTGGCTGGACGCAGAGGCTCACACATGTAATCCCAGCACTTTGGGAGGCCGAGGCAGGCAGATCATGAGAGCAGGAGTTTGAGACCAGCCTGACCAACATGGTGAAACCCTGTCTCTACTAAAAATACAAAAATTAGCCAGGCCATACAAAAATTAACCGGGCGTGGTGACACATGCCTGGAATCCCAGCACTTTGAGAGGCCAAGGCGGGTGGATCATTTGAGGTCAGGAGTTCAAGACCAGCCTGGCCAACACGGCAAAACCCCGTCTCTACTAAACATACAAAAATTAGTCAGGAGGCAGTGGCGCATTCCTGTAATCCCAGCTACTCGCAAGGCTGAGGCAAGAGAATTGCTTGAGCCTGGGATGTGGAAGTTGCGGTGAGCCGAGATCGCGCTACTGCACCTCCAGTCTGGGTGACAGAGTGAGACCCTATCTAAAAAAAAAAAAAAAAATAGACATTGGAGAAGGGTGAGGATTGAAAAATTACCTATCGGGTACAATGTTCACTATTGATGGGTACAGTAAAAGCCCAGACTTTACCATGACACAATGTATGCATATAAGAACTCTGTACTTTTACCCCCTAAATATATAAACTCTTAAAAATAAAATATTGAGATTGGCATAGTTGAAGACGGTAACCCAAAGAATAATTTCATCATCCTTTACTTTTAACTCTATATTCTTGAAATTGGCCTGTCTGGAACCGTTTCTTCTTTTTTTTTTACAACTTCTATTATAAACCAAACATATTTTGAATATTTTCCCATATCAGGACATACAAATCTAAGGATTTTAAGCAACTTATATGACCCAAATAATCATTTCATCTTATTATATTGTAGAGTATGGCAAGCTCTTGTTTTTATTGGAGTAGCATGCTAATAGGTTTTACGGATAACAAGTGACCTGAAGTATCTCTGCTTTTATTTATTTATTTATTTTTGAGATGGAGTTTTGCTCTTGTTGCCCAGGCCGGAGTGCAATGGTGCGATCTCCGGCTCACCACAACCTTCGCCTCCCAGGTTCAACCCGTTCTTCTGCCTCAGCCTCCCGAGTAGCTGGGATTACAGGCATGTGCCACCAAACCCGGCTAATTTTGTATTTTTAGTAGAGATGGGGTTTCTCCATGTTGGTCAGGGTGGTCTTGAACTCCCAACCTCAGATCATCCGCCCGCCTCAGCCTCCTAAAGTGCTGGATTTACAGGCGTGAGCCACCACGCCCGGCGTATCTCTGCTTTTAAATCTGATGGTGGCTGCGTGTGGGGGCTCATGTCTGATCCCAGCACTTTGGGAGGCTGAGGCAGGAGGATTGCTTGAGCCCAGGAGTTTGAGACCAGCCTGGACAACATAGTGAGTGCTCATCTCTATTAATGAAATAGAAAAAAACATCTGATGGTGAGCCAGTGGCAATAACTTCAGTTACTGAGTAATATTTATTACTTATGTCTTTAAAGCAAAACAAAAAATAAAACACTTCTGATTACATAGTGATCATCCCCTGTAGCTTTGTTAAGTTTTTTTGTTGTTGTTGTTGTTTTTTGAGACAAAGTCTCACTCTTGTCCCCCAGGCTGGAGTGCAATGGTGCAATCTCGGCTCTCTGCAACCTCCGCCTCCTGTGTTCAAGCGATTCTCCTGCCTCAGCCTCCTAAGTAGCTGGGATTACAGGTGCCTGCCACCATGCCCAGCTAATTTTTCTATTTTTAGTAGAGACAGGATTTCACCACGTTGGCCAGGCTAGTCTTGAACTCCTGACCTCAGGTGATCTGCCCGCCTCAGCCTCCCAAAGTGCTGGGATTATAGGCATGAGCCAGCGCGCCTGGCCTAAGCTGGTTGTTTTATCTATTCCTGCAGATTTTTTCTTTTCCTTAGATAGCACTTTAACAATATGCATAAATTGTCACGTATTGATGTCCCCCCCCCCCTTTTTTTTTTAACAGCTTTTTTGTTTAAATCTTTTTTCCTGACAGTGAGCAATGAATAAAATACAGCACAGAATTTCTCAGTGGATGGAATAAGTCTGTTTTTTTCCCTTTCCCCTTATCACAGTATGTAAGAGGTCCCACAGGAGAGACTTTTACTGTCTGACAGATTATCTTTTATTTGCAGTTTCCTTGGCTGGGGCTTGGTAAATTTCTGGTAGTAGGGACAGGTCCTTCCAGGCTATGATACAGAGAATTGGGCAGCAGATGATCTTTGGGATCATAGGGGGAAGCAGAAGACGGGACTTTGCTGGTTCAGATAATCTCTAGTGGTTATATGGAATTCAACAAAGGACTGGTGCCAGGTCATTTTGCCCATTAGGCTCAGAAACAAGGACATACGAGCTTTGTAAGGGAGGACCGGAAATTTTGGTGTGTATGCTGCTGGTGAGCATGTATATAGCTATGTTTGTATATCTGTCTATATATACATACGCATGCCTCAGTACTTAAAGAACTGCAGAATTATAGTTAATACATGTTTAATTAAATATTTACAAAGTGATATTATTATAACAGTAAACCACACACAAGTTCAACTCATGTATAGTTTAATGTGAGATATGTATACCTTTTAATCTTTTGACTAAAAATTGGGATGGACATTACAAAAGAGTACCTGGTATCTGTGAAGTCTTCCCTTCTGTTTGGTGTGGACTTCAGAAGTTTATAAGATGATTTGACTTTAGGTGTCTTACCTTGGAGTTATGGTTTAACTTTGCTAGCTTTTGAAACTCTGCTTTAGAGAGCAAATGGTTTTCTTTTAGACTAAAACAAATAATAGAACTTTATAATCTACTTTGTTTCAAGCTGTTTCTTTTGGCTCGATTTAATTTTGTACTGTTTTACATGATGACAGTAACACCATGCTCTCCTTAAAGATTTATGAGTTTATTCACCAAAATGAAATTTTATATACTCTCTGGGATTTATGTGTTCATTATAGTGACATTGATTTTAATGCTTTATAAAAAGTAGAAGGAATTAAGTATACCTACATATTTTGTCATATTTTTCAGGATACCTTCTTCTACTCATTGGTCTATGACCCCTCATTGAAAACGCTATTAGCTGACAAAGGTGAAATCAGAGTGGGACCTAGATATCAGGCAGACATTCCAGAAATGCTGTTAGAAGGTATGTTTTTCTGCATGTTTGCAGTTCTGTGAAACAAATGTATCTTGAAACTCAAATATACATGTCCTCATGTGGAAGAAGCAATGTTCAGGGCAAAGTCTAAAAGTTATAAGCACTTGCAATTTTACTGTTCTTTGTGAAAAATAATGAATAAATAAATAGAGATGAGGCCTTTCTATGTTGCCCAGGCTGGTCTTGATCTCCTGGCCTCAAACAATCCTCCCACCTCGGCCTCTCAAAAGGGATGCTATTATAGGTGTGGCCTGGCCAGCACTTCCAATTTTAGAAGCACAAAATTAGCTCATTTTAATGTACTTTGTTTTTGCTATGCTTCATATATATCTAGCTTTTTAAAAAACTGAAGGTTTATGGCAACCCTGTTGAGCAAGTCCTTTGGTGCCATTTTTCCAACAGGACAGTGTCTCTGTGTCAAATTTTGGTAATCCTTGCAACATTTCAAACCTTTTCATTATTATCTGTTATGGTGATCTGTGATCAATGATCTTTGATGTAACTGTTGTAATTGTTTTGGGGCCATGAACTGTATCCATATGAGAGGACAAACTGAACTGATAAATGCTGTGTATTCTGAGTGCTCCACCAACTGTCCCTTCCCTGCCTCTTTCTCTCTCCTGGGATCTCCCTATTTTATGAGTCACAGCAATATTGAACTTAAGCCAGTTAACAACCCTGCAGTGGCCTGTAAGTGTTCAAGTGAAAGGAAGAGTAGCATATCTCTCACTTTAAATCAAAAGCAAGAAATGAAGCTAGTGAGGAAGGCGTGTCAGAAGCCAAGACAGGCCAAAAGCCAGGCCTCTTCCCCCAGTTAGTCAAGTTGTGAATGCAAAGGAAAAGTTCTTGAAGGAAATTAAAAGTGCTACTCCACACTCCAGCCTGGGCGACAGAGCAAGACTCTGTCTCAAAAAAAAA